AGGAGTTGTTCATGGCATGCTGAAAAGGATCCCAACGTCGGTCTCCTTTGCGTGGGGGACGAGGGCGTCCTGGCGACGGAAGGCTCGGAAAGTGGGTCTATGGGGTGAGGGTTTAGGGTTTAGGGTTTAGGGTTTAGGGTTTAGGGTTTAGGGTTGAGGGGTGAGGGTTTATGGTTTAGGGTTTAGGGTGCAGGGTTGAGGGGCTCGGAAAGCTATGCTTGCGGTTTAGGCTTCAAGGTTTGGTTGGGGTGGACAGTACTCAGTCAGCCGTGTTTGAGATGGACGTGGCGGCGCGGGTGGACTTGGCTCTTCCGACCGAGCTCCACTCTCAAATTTCCAAAGGCTTGTAAGCAGAAGGTTGGTAAACCCGACACCGATTGTAAGCCAGGCCCTTGTACATATACCCTGAACCTGACCACCGGAGAAGTAGAACCAAATCTAAGCCCTAAGCTGAAAGCCCTAAGCCCCAATATAGGAACTTGATTCAGCAACCTTGGGTCTTTATTGAGTTTGTTGAATATGGATCCGAATATTTAGGGGGGTTGTAAGACCAGGGTTTCTTAATCAGGTTCCTGCATTAACTTGGTTGACTTCTGAACCCTTCCTAAAAGTTCAAACTTTCAGCACCTTTTCTTATAGTTCATATAGAAACCCAAAGTAGTTGAAGTCCTAAGAGCCAACCAGAAGAACCCCAAGTTCACCTCAACCCCTTCGCCCCAACGGCCTGCTCCGAAGGACCCGTTCGAGGGATCAGCCCTCGAGCATCAGAACCATGGCGTGGCCAATACCTGGGTAGTTTTGGGTTTAGGGTTTAGGGTTTCTCAAAACATGGCAGTTTCAGAAACTTCGGGGTCCTTAAAATATGGATCCTTATAGTAAGGATCCTGCCGTTCAGGGTTCTATGTTAGGGTCCACGAGTTCCTGAAAGTTTCATGCAGTAGAACAGGGTGGGGTAGGAATGCTGATGGCCCAAAACCCAACGGCTGAAAGACAGACAGCTTGAAGGAGGGCCTGTTGTACTCTATCACCCAGAGAACCCAGTACGCCTGCATTGACGAGTATGCCTTAGCTGCGGGGTGCGGGGTTCTCAGCATGCTGGGGATCCTATCACCCTAAGGGTCCAAGTAGTCCTTATTTATGGTTTTAGGTACCCCCAAAGGCCCCAAAGTCCTTAAGTAATGGGTACTTGGACCCCTTGTGGTCATATTTCCTTCAGGTGTTTGCAAAGGCTTCGTGGCACTTGAGGTGGTTGTGACTCGCAGTGGAAAAGCCTAGGGCTTGTAGTATAGTTAGCGACCTTGATTAACAAAGTTGGGTGTTGAGGTATATGATAGTAGAAAACCCTAAACCCTAAACCGTGATACCGTAGATGATATAAATCCTGCATTACCTTAAGGACCCTAAACTATGGGAATTACGGTAGATTCGTTATTATGGGGTAATGCAGGATTTATATCATCAACCGTAGTAGAATTATAAGGAGGAGCCGCCTGGATCGGCAGCGGTGGTTATTCAAGCGTCTGGTTTACCTAAGCCCTGCGCGCTGAGCCCTGGCAAGACCTATAGTGGTTTAGGGACCTGAAGAATTTGGCTAAGGTGTTCGGATATACAAAAGAAAACACTTACAGAATACGGAGAAGTTGAGGGGATGCGACTACCGCCGATGATGCAGATTCTGATCTCTTCAAAATCCCGTATAATACAAAACCGAAAACTAGTATAAACCCCACAAAACCTTAAACAACATACACCCTCGTAAACCCATATAAAACCCCTTATAGGCGTTGCGCCAAGGTGCCAGATCTCAGTTCCAACGGTAAGGTCAAAGTGCATAACCCCGTTGACGATCGACTGTGAGATGTAGGTGGCATTGTTGCTCCGGCACATCTCCTTCTCCCTACACCCTAAACCCTAAACCACAAAGCCCTACACCCTAAACATCTCCTTCTCCCTAAACCCTAAACCCTAAACCTCAAAGAACCCTGTGGGGTCGGTTTTGGGCTTCGGGCCCAGGGGGGAGGGTAGCGTAGATTTCCTGTTCTCAGGGACTCGATAAGTAACGCGCTTTAAACCGCCGTTAAAGTATTTCAAGACGATTCCGGCCAAAGTCGTATGAAGGATGGTCTATTGCCTAAGTAACGAATTTGGGAGTTTCTGGTTTGCACTTGGGGATCAATATACACCCTAAGACCCCCCCGGCCAATTCCTAAGCTCCGCATAGCCTACCGCTTTACTTCACACGCTGTATTCTGCAATTACAGAGGGTCATACTAGGGCTTGGGGCTTATAATTGGTGCATAACCGGGCATAGCCCTACGATTTCGTATGGTTTGGGCTGCAAGTACACCCTAGCATCCATGCCCTGGGCTAGGTCTGAAAGTGCAGACTGCCTGAATCTGCGCATGTGGTCCTTGGCGAAGAGCTGTATCATCTCCATGTCCTGACTCATCTAAAGCCTAAACCCTAAAAACCCTAAACCCTAAACCCTAAGCCTAGACCCTAGACCCTAAGCCCTAAACCCTAAACCCAAAGCCTACACCCTAGACCCTAAGCCCTAAACCCTAAACCCTAAGCCTAGACCCTAGACCCTAAGCCCTAAACCCTAAACCCTAAACCCTAGACCCTAGACCCTCCAGCCTAAACTTTACGCCCTCGACCCTACACTCTGAAGCCCACCCTTCAAACCACTTGGCTTGGTCTGCTTCAGCCCCGAACCCCAGGATTGCAAAAAATACAGCTTTAGGGTTTAGGGTTCAGAGTTGTGGGGTGGGATTGAAGCGCCTGGGCTGGAAGACTCTGATGCTCTAGATGCCCAGCTAGAATTACTAAGCCATCGCCTACTCGTTTTGTAGGCTCCCTGCTTACTGTATGTCTTTATACTCCGGTTTTCTTTAATTGAGACACTGGAGCTTGTGGTACTTCGAGGAAACATAGGAACCTGATTGAGAAGCCCTGGGTCGCTATCCTAATATTTCCGGGTTGTAGGAACAGGGTATCTTGATCAGGCTCCTACATTGGAGGGTGTAGGTGCAGCCGGATCTTAGAGCCTCAAGCCCTATAGAGGGACACCTTACCAAACCCTATGAATTTCCGGCTCGAGTTGTCGAACGCCCTAACTGTCAACCCTAACGGAAGGGTTTAGGAGAGAGGGTTGTTGAGCGTATCAAGCGTTTAGGGTTGTTTTTTGGATTAAGGGTTGCTTAGGGATTAGGGTTGTTTAGGGTTTAGGGTCCCTCACCGCATTCCTTGTGCAGCAGCGCGTGGTGGAGCGGTGTTTCGGGACAGTCGGCGCTGCGGCGACGGAAGAAGCTGGATGCCTGTGGAGAACAGTTTAGGCTAGGGTTTACAACCCTACAAGGGTCTTCTGCCCTAATAGTATATACACAATTTGAGTACATGGACCGTTACAGTAAGCTTCAGAAGGACCCAAATCCCGGGTCCTACACTGGACTCCAATGTCCAAAGCCTGATAATGCCTAATACAGGGCCTTAATGATTAGAAAAGGCTTTTGGGGTATTATACTATATATATATATATATAAGGAGCCCCCAAAATAGTATTGGTAATTTTTTAGACTCCTACATTACACCGTAAACTTCGGACAGTGCGTGCAAGGCGGTATCTTTGGTCCTACAAGGGCCCTTGTTCCAAAACGGGCGTAAAACACTGTGGGGCTGCCTGGCTTCTAGGCAGGCCCGTGCATGTTGGTTAGTGAGTGACTCAGTGATGAAGGGCGAGTTGGACTTCTTATAGTTTGGGGTTTGAAAAGGTTTCGAATATCTGGGTCGGGGGCTTGATGTGGATTTAAGGTTGAGGGTTTGCTGCAGAGTTGAAGCTTCACGTGTAGGGCTATTGCTATCACACCGGCAATGAAGTGAAATGAAACATGACGGGGACACTGCGGAAGGCAAGGCGCGGGCCTCTCGGAACTACGCACTGCCTGTGTTGGAGCAGCTTTCAGCCATGCCCAGATTGACGGCACCGGGGTCGTCGGGACCTGCCGTGAGAGTCACGAGCCTGCGTTCTCCCACTATGCAAAGCCAGCTCCTGGAAACGCATGAAAACTTTCCTGTAGTCTCCATTGTAGTTCCTTTTTGGGTTTACATTTTAGGATCCTTAATTTTAAACGGGTTAAACCAAAAAAAGAACTACAATGGAGACTATAGGTTGGCTTCTTGCGGGGGTAGCAACCACCAAGCGCTACTGGGCCCGAAGCGAAGCGTCGCGGCAGGAATTCTGGGCGGAAGAATCGCATGGCGGGCCCGAGTCGATTTCACCTGTTGTGGGAGCTTCCCTGTCCATGAAGGATCGACGCAGACCAGATCCCAGGCACATCTTCATGGACTCCTTTGCTATATGGTCTGAGAGGTTGTGAGGATTGCGCAGAACCAGTTTTTGCTGCTGCCAAACATGTCAGGGCATGAGTTTTGAAGTACACGGTTCATGCGACCTTGCACCTAGTTCAATGGACAACCAAGCACAGCATAGGGGCAGTCGAATATACTAGGGGAACTAAAGGTTAACCTTCGGGATTCTATAGGGATTCCAACACCCCAAAACGGTTGAAGGTTACCTATAGTCTCCGCCTTTTGTTACAAATCTCAGCTCCCAACCAAAAGGAACCACCCCTAAAGCCTAAACCCTAAACCTTAAACCCTAAACCCTAAACCCTAAACCCTAAACCTTCAACAGCCCCACTTCAAGCTTGACAAACTGGAGATCCAAGTCACCACGCCTGAGCCACGAACAGGGAGCCAAAGGCCCCTTTAAACCCTAAACCCGAAATACCCTGAGGGTTTAGTGTTTATAGGGTTTAGGGCTTACAGGGTTTAGGGTTTAGGGCTTATAGGGTTTAGTGCTTATAGGGTTTAGGGCTTATAGGGTTTAGGGTTTACAGGGCTTAGGGTTTCTAGGGTTTAGGGTTTTAAAACTATAAACGCAAAACACCAAGGTTCTGAAACCTAAACCCTAAACCCCTTAAGCCCCTTCTCAGCCGGGCCTTGAAAGGAAGCCGCTGAAGCTTGCCTCAAAGACCAGAGCTTGGCAAGCAAAGTGTGTTTGGAAGCTTCCCCCTAGGGCTTTACAGATACTACCCTAAGGGTCCAGGCACCCAAATGGCATATACTTTGACCTTAAAGTACCTATATACGGAATAGGCCAATGTATATACTGTTTGGGCACATGGACCCTTAGGGCTAGGTTCCTGAGTGACCCCTTAATCATGAAGGTACCCTTTTTCAAATTATTCAGTTTTAGTAATACTAAGGGAAGGTTTGGGGTTTAGGGTGTGGGGTTTAGGCTTCAGGGTCCAGGGTTTGGGTTTTGGGGTTTAGGCATTTACGGCCTTCGGGTTTTCTCGCTCAGTGCTCTGGGCACAGACTGCTGGGCATTGCATGGGGTTATGGGTACCCATAGGCCCCATAGTAGTTCCTTTTTGTGGCTTATATTCAGGATCCTATTAGGTAATCTCAAAGAGGAACTACAGTGGGGCCTAGGGTAGCCACGAGAAAACAGCCGACGGCACTGTATCAGAGCTTGGGGCAAAGCATTCAACGGTTTTCGTTAGCCAGCATTAGGGTTTAGGGTTTAGGGTTTATGGTTTAAGCAGCCTAAGCACCCTAAGAACGAAAACAAAAATACAGGTAACGTTTGTACTCACCCCTTGGAGTTCATTTTGACAAAGGGAAATAGCTCATGAGAGCACGGAAGGTAGAAGTCTTCGACATCCGGGTCCGTCCTGATGCCCATTCCGCGCAAACCCTCCAGAATTTAGGAATGTAACTTCACATCACCATCCGATTCACCAGAAGATGCAACTCCAGTTACCCAAAGTCCCATACAACCATTGGCGGCCTCAGCGACTTCAACTACTTAATCAGCACTTACCACAAGACCCCTGATGGGTTTGATGCAGTTGGTGCAGTTGAACCTCACCTGGGGAGAAGCATTCTATCTTGCCACAGTCTTGCAATCAATCCCGTCTCTGACGCGTTTTCACGCAGACAAGCTTCATAGGCTTATACTTTCGGAATCAGAACCCCAAACAAATGCAAGTTTTAATGCATGATCAACTCCGTAAACTGTACGGAGTCTGAATAATTCGCAATTGCATCACCTCATGACCCTATGTAGCTACACTGCAATATACCCCTCGCCCCTCAAAGCAAACTGCATCATCATTTCTCACATTGATTCCTGAACCCTGCTACCCTGGTCGCGCAGCCTTCACGCCATATAAAGCTTCAAAACCGTCAAATTTCCAAACCGTCAAGATCCTAAATCATAAATCCTAACCCCAAAGGCTGAACCTTGGGGAATCCCTCCACTTCTGAACCCGCCCCAGAAGCTGTCAAACCACAGCTGAGGTCGAAATACCGACGGAACTGGGGACTAAGGTTTCAAGTTCAAGGAATTTCCGGACAAGCTGGCCCTCAATTGCAGATCCTCTTGTGGCTGCCTTGCCGGCCTCTAACAAGGATCCTAATAGGCAGCTTGGCTTCCCAGAACAGGAACTACTTTAACGGTCGATCTTCATGTGAATCTTGCTGGTAGAGCATATAATCCCGAAACCCCATAATCCACGCCGTTGAACACTATACTTGGGTCTAAAATCTCTAGACCCTTAAAACACCAAACGCCAAGGCAAGAACACTCTAAACCCTAAACTCTAAATCCCTAAACATCGAACACCCGGCCCTAAACCAAAAGCAGCAAACACAAGAGACCTCCTAACGAACCCAACCTCCGCGCAAGGGTTGATTGACCCTCAGGCCGGTAATACTCGGGAAAAGGTTCGGGCTAAGGATTCTCAACTGTCGTCTCTGTAGTTCGCTGCTACATAGTCTGCTTATGGGTTTAGGGTTTAGGGTTTAGGAAAATTCTACAACTATTACTACAACTATGAAGACCACGATAACTATATGACTATTATAAGTGGCGGTTACTAGTTGCAAACGTAAAGAACCAGAGTCCGAGCCCTCGTTGTGCAGCCGATGGACGTAGCAAGTCCATGCCAGCCGCACCTACAACACAACTCATGGGTGTTTGGTTGGCTTTGGGTTTGGGGTTTACGGCATTTCTCAAAAGGAGACCCTAAACCCTAAACCCTAAAACCTAAACCGTATAGTTTGGTTGGCTTTGGGTTTGGGGTTTACGGCATTTCACAAAAGGAGAGAGGCTTGACAGGACTACCCATAGGCCCCATAGTAGTTCCTTTATGGGATTACCTAATAGGATCCTATTAGGGAATCCCAAAAAGGAACTACGATGGTGCCTATGGGTAGGGCATATAATGCCTAAGACGAGAGAAGGCCGCAAAGGTCGTGGAGTCTGCTGCAGGCCTACTAGATTTCAAGACATTCGGGGATTTTGGGAGGGTTTTCCTTGCAGGTCCATGCCTTCATCTAGTATATACTTTGGCCTCACAGTAATCCCCATGTGTTCATGCAGCTGAATGTCCGGAACTTCAGAGCTGGGTTGGGAAGTAGAGTGGTGCACTGATGTAATAAGCCCCCTTGAAAACTTCCCACCCCACCCTCCATAAGGCTCTCGAGTTAGAATTTCGGGCTCGGAGTTGCGCCGAGAATTCATGGATAAAGAAGGTTTCTCTTCACGGCAGCACTACGATGCATAAACTTTATCGTATTATGGTCTGTGGCTACAGACAGAGAGCGAGAGAGGGAGACGGAGAGAGAGCTCTCTTACCTATTTGCTGGGAACCAATTTGTGCTTGCTGCACTGTAGGTCCTTGGAGCAGATGATTAGGGTTTTGCTCGACGCGTTGAGACTCACTGCCTGGGTTTACTGACCTGGATCACGAACAGCCCCAACAGGTGGCTTGAATGATGAGTCTTGGGATATACTTCTGATAAACTTTTACTGTATCATCATATCGACCATATGATATGGAGAATACCACTAATTACTCGGATCCTTATCTCAAGCCCGAAGGTCCAAAGCCCCACGCCTCCTTTCTGTGCCGCTGCCCATGCGATACGGTCGCCAACGACGACATCGATGTCGAGGGAATCGAGGAAAGCCTTCTAAACCCAAAACCCTAAACCCCTAAACCCCTAAACCCCTAAAAAAACTCGAATTCGCGGTTATGGCTCATGGGGCTCTGGCATACCCTTACTGCTTAGTGCTGATAGAAGGGGCTCTTATCACGGGGTCTATAAGGGATTTTCGAGGGTCTTCTGTACGGCTAGTGTTGATATAAAGGGTTCTTATCATGGTGTCTATAAGGGATTTTAAAGGGTTTTCTGTAGGGCTGTATAGGGGGTGGTCTTGACGGTCCACAGGGCCCAATGACGAGGTACTTGGGTTTCGGATAGTGGTTATGCAGGTTAGTCTTGGGAAGAGATATTAGATGATTATCAGATACAACTGGAGCCGTAGGGATACAGGCTGCAGAATGTAGGGGCCTTCATAATTAGAACAGGGTTTCGGAGTATATTGTACTACAATAAGGACCCCCCGCAAAAAAAATAGTAGAGATAGTCAATATGAAGACTCCGAAATAACTGCTCGGAGGGGAAGTCGACGGTCTGGGATTTAGGCTTGCGCATGCAGGGTTCAATCTTCCCGGCTTATGCCCTCGTGAAAACTGCTATGGCTCTTGCCTCTTGTCCTTCAAATGTTGGGTTTAGGGTTTTTGAAGGATTTAGAGCTATTGGGCTTCAAATGTTGGTTTAGGGTTCTTGGGGGGATTTGGGGCTATTGGGGATGTTGAGGAAGGCCAGTCAAGAGCTGGTGGGCTCCTCGTGTCCAAGAGCACTGAGCAGTGGCAAGAATAGAGGCAATGCGACGGCAATGGCAAGCAACATGGTCCTAGCGAACCCAATACCCCTCAATTAAGAAATATACCTTAAATCATAGTATTAAGGCCCCTATAAATTAAGGTATACTCCTCAATTAAGGAATATACCTTAAATCAGAATATTATGGCCCCTATAATTTAAGGTATATTCCTTAATTAAGGTGTATTGGGTTCTCTGGGGTCCTAGCAGCACACTCGAGCGGTTTAGGGTCGGGCAAGCATGGTGCTAATGCAGAGGGCTCAGGTGCAAAAGCAAACACACTCCTTCAAAGAAATCAATGAATAACACCCCGTGACTTCTTCTAATTACTTTAGTCTCAAGTGGTCATTTCTCTAAATGAGGGTCCCCGTTTAGGTCCCCAATATAGCACGGCACCCTTATAAAAAGGACCCTAAAAGGGATCCTAATTTAGAGAACTACTCAAGTACACCACTACTCGCGAATATTAGGCCTGGACAAGACATCCCTGCACGGGGGTCGGCACCTCGGCGCCAGAGAAGCACTCGTCCCAAAAGGGATCCTCCAAGCGAATTGCGTGCTTGGGAGGTTTGCGCTTTCATGTCTCGGGTTTGAGGCAGTCTTAGGGTATATACCCTAAACGGTTTAGGGTATATACCCTTAAGCCTGAACCTTAAGTTTGATGTAAATGTTTGAGGCAGTCTTGGGGTATATAAACCCTAAACCCTAAATTTGGGTGCCAGGGTCGCTTAGGGTCGGGAGTCCTAGGGCCGGTGAAATTGGAGCCAATTTCAGGCAGTTTCTCTCTGCTAGACCGTATGCGGTTTAGGGTCTAAGTTTGGGGTTCAGGGTTCAGGGTGGATTCAAAAGGTTTGGGTTTAAGGTTCAGGGTGCAGGTTGGGTTTTAGGGGTTTAGGGTTTAGGTGTTTAGGATTTAGGGTGAAAGAATCTAAACCCGGAACCTTTGATCCTAAACACTAGGCCCTCACCCAGTATCTGTGCGACCTAAACCCTAAACCCTAAACTCTAAAACTTACTTATATAACCCTAAACCCTAAACTCGAAACCGTAAACCCTAAACTCTGTTTCAAGTCTCCACCCCGACTGCTCTAGATCTTGCAGCTTCCTGGCGCCTCGAAAACGCTAAACCAAAACACAAGTGCTGTAATGGTTGGGTTTAGGGTTCAGGGTGTAGAGTTTAAGGGCTTAGGTGTTTAGGGTTTAAGGGTTCAGTATTCAGGGTTTAGGGGGTTTCGGGGGTTTCGGGGTTTACGGGTTCAGGGATTCAGGGTTTAGGGTTTGCGTCTCGGGAGCTGCATGGATGTTGTCCGGAACGATGTGGGTGAACGGTCTTTCATAATGGGCTCGGCATTGAGGGGTTGGGTGTTGTAGCTGCGGGTTCGAGGAACTGTTTAAGGTTCATCTGCAAAGCCCTCGAGGCCATGTGACCTACGTAAACCCGAAACTCCCGTATATAAGCCTTAAACCCTACTGTAAATCCTAACCCCTATAAACCCTAAACCCAAAGCCCTGTAAACCTGAAACCAGACTCTCATTGATTGTCCAAGACCAAGCAGTTCCAATCCGGAACTCTGCCTCTAAACCCCCTACCTAAAGACAACTCCTAAATCCTAAACCCAAGCCTTAATTCGGGTTTAGGGTTTATCCCTAAGGCTCCATGTTCCCATATAGTAGATACTTAAGCCTTAAAGAGCCTATATAATATAGGGACCCCTTTACGGCCTAAGTATCTACTATAAAGGTACATGGAGCCTTTGGGTGTAGGGTTTAACCTTAAACCCTCAACCCTGGGCCTCTGCTAAACCCTGAAAAGCCCCGAACTCGCACCACAGCGGCTTCGAGGCCGACACCTGCAACTCTCCTAATGTAGGTGCCTTAATAATTAGAATAGGGTTTGGGGGAGTTCCTTTAAAGGGTTCCTTAAAGGGTTCTATAAGGGCTACTATAAGGGTTGAGAGTTTAGGGGCCTTGTTAATTAGAATAGGATTTTGAGGTATACTACACTATCATTATAATCAGGAATCCCCCCCAAGATAGTACAGGTAACTATTTAGGCCCCCATATTAGCCTGCTTTGTGCTCTAAACGCTACCTGTAGGCCCATACCCTACCTCTTTTTGGGGGTACCTATACTGAGGGTCCAAACGACCCAATAATAAGGTACTTTGGTTGCGGGTAGTAGTTATACCTAGGCTAACCCTAAACCCTAAACCCTAAACCCTAAACCCTAGAGAGCGTATGTTTATAAGGAACTTGGGACCCCAAGGGCTACACAACTAAGTTGGCACTCTATATAAAATCCCTAACCGTGAACCCTACCTCAAAAGGCGGTACCTAATCATCTGTGGTTATGACTATGAACTGTTGCATAGCAAGGTATCCTAAACAACGGGTAGGGTACGACGCCACAGGTGCATCCCTAAACCCTAAACCCTAAGTAAACCCTAAACCCTAAACCCTAAGTAAACCCTAAACCCTAAGTAAACCCTAAGTAAACCGTAAACCCTTAATCCTAAGTAAACCCTAAACCCTAAACCCTAAGTAAACCCTAAACACTAAACTCCAAGTAAACCCTAAACCCTAAACTCTAAGTAAACCCCTAAATCCTAAACGAGTGCCCACCTTCTCCAGCGGCGGCGGGATCTCCACCAAAGGCGGCTCTGGCTCTGCCGGGGCCCCCGGCTTTGCAACCTGTGGATGGGTTTAGGGTTTAGGGTTTAGATGGAACGCCATCCTGAGGGCCCATGTGCCCAAATAGGGTTCCTTTAAGGGTACTACTATAAGGGTGCTACTGTAAGGGTTCCTTTAAGGGTTTCCATAGGGGTACTCTGAGGGTTCAGGGTTTAAGGGACCATGTGCCCAAAAAGGATCCACTTCGGCCTTGAAGTAGTCCCTGTATAGCTACTTTCGGGCCAAGGCGTGCTATACAGGTACATGAAGCTTTTGTGAAAATACTGTGTTCGCGGTCATAAGCTATTCATTGGCCATAACGTATGGTTCAGGATGGCCCGTGGGATCTTGAGAGACCATGGCTACAGCACAGATTGCTGTAAGACTCCTGAGGTTTAGGGTTTAGGGTTGTTCTTTCGGGGGTTTGGGGTTTAGGGTTTTTCTTTGGGGCATTCTGGGCAGCAGCTGGCCTGTGGCAAGGGCTGCATGACGTTATGAGCGGCCGAGAAATACCCACAACATTGCCGACAGAAGGCCCGAAGGATATTGCAACAAAAGCATGTGCTAACCCTGGAAGGACCAGGAAAAAAACAAAAAACAATCTCTTGACGAAAGCCCCAAAGTCACCCACTCACACACACACACACACACACACACGTAAGAAAAGCTCAAAACAAGAGTTAAGATAGTGAAGCACCTTCTGTAACGTGAAACAACCCCTGAAAGAAACTCCCCGGAGATCGCCTTGCCCTTCTTCTTGCCGGCGGCCTTCTCGAACTTTGCCTCAGCTACGTCCGCAGGGTGTACCCTGAACCCAAAACTGTAAACCCCCAAACCCGCCAAACCCAAAGCCTTAAACACATAAACCGAGTTTCCTAGATTTCGCTTACCCGTGGCCCAAAAATACCTACCTTCTTAAAGAATTATGTATAGAAGCCATAATAAGGAATCCTGAAACGGTAAGTTTCTTTGGCTACAGGTAAGGGAGATCGAGGTCAGGAGCGGGATCAACCCATTTCGGTAGCTACCCGCGTTGCTCTTCGCAATCATATCGTCTGGAAGTTAGGGGTTTAGGGCTTAGGGCTTAGTGGTTTGGGTTTAGGGTTTAGGGTGTAGGGCTCGGAAACCTCAACCCGAAACCGAACAAAGGAACCCCAAACTAATCTTACACACGAAACCGGCCTTAATGTTTCTGATGTTGTTCTATTGGGGTGTTGCAAGAAAGGAACCCCAGTTCATCTTACGCACAGTAGAGGCCTTCATGTGTTTCTGTTGTCTTCTAACGGGGTGCTGCATCATAATAGAAACAACATATGGGCCATCAGTAATTTTACCAGTAGCTAGCTAGCCGGACCCATCTTGAGCCAGCCGCTGTCAGCTGAAATGTGAGCTCTGAGCCCGCATGACCGTTTCATGTATATTATGAGAATAAATTAATTTATTCATACAAGGGTACATCAGATAGAATAATGATAATGATGAGGGTTGAATCGCTAATTACACGCCACCGCAAGCTGCTCTTGAACCTGCGTATTTGAACCTCCGCGTAGCCCGTAGCCTGCATGATGAACACAAGCTAAGTGCCCTAAACCCTAAACCAAAACCCTAAACCCAAAACCCTAAACCCTATGCCAAGGATCTCTTTCCCTGGCAGCGGCCATCTCCGCCTTCTTGCGCTCCTGGTCAAGGACTGTCTTGTGCTCTTCGGGTTTGAGGGGGTTAAGGGGGCTCAAATTTAGGGTTTAAGGTTTAGGATTTAGGCTCATATTTAGGGTTGAGGGTTTAGGATTTAGGCTCATATTTAGGGTTGAGGGTTTAGGATTTTGGCTCATATTTAGGGTTTAGGGTTTAGGATTTAGGCTGGAAGGTACCGCCAGGGGTCAAGGGGCGCAAGGGCGCGGTAGGGTAGGAATGGGGGTGCAGGGTTAACCGGGTTTGGAGGTTTAGGGTTTGGGTTTGGGGTTCACCTGATGGGTCCAGCAACCTACAGTTTTCAAGGTTCTACACTTATGAGTATGTGGTCATCGAACAGTACCGTTCTGTAGCGTTTTGTGCGTAGGCTGGAAGGCCGAAGCTGTTCTAGAGTATTCTTTGGCAGGCTAAACCCTAAACCCTAACCAGACCTAACCAGAGAAGCCTGCAAACCTGAACCGTCGTCGCCGGCCCCATGCTCAAGCTCTAACAGTCGTGACTCAAAGCATCGTCTACTACTACGGTTGATGATGCATATCCTGCATTACCCATGATAAGGAATATACCATAACGCCCATAGCTTAGGGTCGTGAAGGTAATACAGGATTTGTATCATCAACAGTAGCAATGCGAATAGTAGAGACGGAAAACAGGAAAAGTGATCCTGGCAACTGAGTGGATGCATGACGGAAGAATGATGTTGAAAGCACCTAGCGGCCAGCGCTAATACTTGCAACCATCATCGCCACAATGAGAGCTATGGAGCGAACGTCATCTAACAGGCAGACATCGAAGCCGTCGTATATAACCCAAGCCCGATCAAACTCTCGAGAACTCTGTACCGCCTGGTCAAAACCATATAGATACATGCAGCGGACTACTCTGCACAGCCCTGTAAACCCCACAAGCAAAACAAAAACACTACAGCACCCCTAAACCCCAAACCCTAAACCCTAACATCCCAAGCGTGGGTCCCTGTCTGCCAGCTTGTCCGCTGCCCTCTTGCTCTGAGTCTTCCTGAGAGGTTTAGGGTTTTAGGGGTTTAGGGTTTAGGGTTTCGGGTTTAGGGATTGCGGGCAAAAAAGGCCTACACTCTAAAACCCAAGCCCTATAAACCCTAAACCATAAGCCCTAAAAGCCC